GAAAATCATACTCTTTAAAATACAATATTTCACATTTACAACAGTTTTTTTTACAATTATGAAATGTTTTATATGGATTATCTTATTTGAGTCTTACAACTACCCTATGCAGAAGGTAGTATAAATATTTCCATTTTGCAGGTCAGAAAACTGAAACTCAGGGAAATTGCCCGAGAGCTACACTACTAATACTTTGCAGAGGCAAGAATCCCTACCAGACCTTATTCTCTATGTCCAGTGCTCCTGCTGCTACTATACACTGCCTACCCCATGTTAGGAAATGTACAAAAGTTGGGGAACACTGTAAGATGGTGTACGCACAAAGTGAATGTTTTTTCAATGATTTTTTCTGAAATGGATGCTCCAGAAAGCTTTGGAAAGACATTCATTTTTAGTTACTTCTCATATTTAACAATTCTTGAGTCTTAATTATTTAAGCTGTTTTGACTTGTTAAAAAAAATCACTTATTCTTAGAAGAAAAGCAGGGACTGTTTCTATTCTATTGTTAAATCTTATGTTCAGAAAAGTATGTTGATAGATGGACCAGGTGATACATTAAAACAGACCAAAGAATGATCTGGATGCCTGTCAGTTTTTTGTTTTTTTTTTCCCCTTAGGCTTGTCTGGCAAAATTCACACATTATGAGAAACCAATGGTTTTGTAAACAGTCTTGTTTATAAAGGAATTTAAGAGTGTAAACAAAAGCTAGGGATGATCTAAAATTTTTGTTACAGAACAAGTATGAACTATTTTGTAGTGCATGAGTGCATTTACATGCACAAAAGAAAAAGAAAAACGTAAGATGAGCTATCAAGAAGAGAAATTGATTTTTTCCTGGCAAGTAATGTAATCATTTTGTACAGAAGCATTTTCTTCCTTTTTTTTTATTCATTCTTTGACAAATTATTTAGGAGCTAGTATGTGCTGAGCAATTCAATTTAAATCAGCAGGAATTTATTAAACCTCTGTTGTTTGAAACGCTGGCTTAGGTTGTGGGACATTCTCAGGTGTGCCAAAAATCAAGAAGCTGTGTAACTTTGTAATATTGCAATATTTTGTAATATTGCAATAATTTGTAATATTGCAAACTCATAGGTAAGACATAAGTTCTCCACAGCAGTGAATAAAACTGGGTTGTAAACAAAAAAAGTTTGAGAAATAGTGTAAGATCCATTCATCCTATTATTTCACTCACACACACACACACACACACACACACACACACACACACTATCAACATGCTCCTGGACTACTACCCCAACTTACTTTTGCACTCATGTGTTATATCCCAAGAGATTGGCTTACCTTAGATTCTAGAGGACACGTGGGTCCTGGCTCCTACTACTATAGCTCATGAGCCCTCACTGTTGCATTTCTCCATAATGATCAACCAGTAGACATAATCAGCTTTTAGCAAAGGCATTTACTTGCATGACATAAAAAGAAAAATGACTATAAAACATTCTCCCCTCAAATCTAGGAGTGCACTATCCCACAGGTACACTTCTTGTTTGTATATTTAAAGTATACTGCTATTGAGAGACGATGTAGAGAATGTATGTAGTCAAGGCAAACCACACCTCTAGTACCATAGGGACTTGATATCTTTTCTCTCTATGCTACGTCCTTCCAAAGCTCCACCCTATATATGAGGTGCTGCACTCAACTTTCAATTGCCAGTATACAGCCAACTTCCACATCTGAGGCCAGTGGTCCTGCTTTCTCCCTTGAGTGATTGTTTCTCTGTATTCAATTCTGTCTAGAACATATATATCTATTTTCTACTGTATGAAGTGTCCTTTACTTGTTGAATATTCCCCCTTCAATCCAAATGGTTGTTGGGGAGGAGGAGAGAGAAATCTCTCCTCTACAGGAGTCTTTTCCTCATGTATCTTCTGGCCTGTACTCACCAGAACTCCAGAACTCACCTAAGGCTTAATAAAGCTATTTAAAAGTATGTTTGGTTTTTGGTCTTCCAATGAGGTTTCTCCATTTAATTCTAGCAGAGGAAGGTGTTATATACACTTGACCTCTGGAGATTATTGAAAAGGAACAGAAAAGGAATATACATATATCTCAAGTGACAAGGCACTTTTATAAAAATTGACCATTGTTAGGGTCTAAAAAGCTCATAAACAAAGGCAAAAAAGCAGAAATATTAAATATATCTTAGAAACTATTAGGCATAAACCCCAAAGAGGTCAAACACAGAGGAAAAAGACCTATTTGTAAAAAAAATATATAAAGTGGTCCATTTAATTGTAGGAATGAATTAGAAATGAAGTGGGGAATTAATTGGGGAATAAGAGGAACAAATTAACTTTAATACATATGATATAATGGAATATCATTGCATTGTAAGAAATGACAATGGATTTAGAGAAACCTGGAAAAACTTGTATGAACTGATGCAGTGAAGTAAACAGAAGCAGAATAATGTATGCAAAAGCCACACAATTTGAAAGGAAAACAACCATGAAAGATGAGACTGCTATACAAAGTAGTAATTAATCCTGACTCCAGAAGATTGAAGATGAAGAAGCATGCTTACCACCTCTTAGTAGAGAGATGATGGACTAGAAGTGCAGAATGAGACATACATTTTCAGGTACAACCAATATAACACAAATCTGTTTGCCTGGTCATACTTATGTGTTTAAAGAGAAGGCTTTTATTTTGGGGGAGGAGAGTATTGTTTAGCATGGTGGTGGGGAGAGAAGGAAAATAATGTCAATGAAACAAAAATGTAGGCAGAAGAGAGCAGAAGGCAGTTCAGTAGAGTACATAGCTAAGTAGGATGATGTTGGTGCTATCATATAAATTTAGTCTATATTATTTTTAAAAAAACCATAAAGCAGCATGTAAGAGGCTAATGAGGGCAGCTAGGTGGTACAGTGGATAGAGTGCCAGGCCCAAAGTCAGGAAAGACTCATCTTTCTAAGTTCAAATCTGGCCTCAGACACTTACTAGCTGTATGATCCTGGGCAAGTCACTTAACCCTGTTTGTCTCAGTTTCTTCATCTGTAAAACAAGCTGGATGAGGAAATGGCCAACCACTCTAGAATATATGCCAAGAAAATCCCAAATAGGGTCACAAAGAGTTGGACATGATTAAAAAACAACTGAACAATAGGTTAATGGTTTCATATACAATTCTTTTTTTCTGACCTTTATATTTATGTCTTTATATAAACGTTCATGTTTGTTGATGATTTTCTGGTTCATAATACTTTTTTAAGTAAAAAAAAAATAGCTCTGCTTTCAAATATTTTGAAACTAGCCTCATGTCATTTACAATCAGAGCTACCCTGAAGTTAAGGCAAACTGGGATCATTACTCCATGTTTTATACTTCTGGGGACTGTATATTGCTTAGTGGGTAGTGCCTCAGGAATTCAGGAGCCTGGGCAGTAAATCAGGGAAGAAGCTTAAGGGGAGAATGACAACCTACAAACTTCCCCTATCTTAACCAGAGCAAAGTAGACAAAACTGACCTTTTTCCCTTCCCCACGCAAGCATCAGACTTCCTGTTGCCCATTTGAAATCACTTTCTCTGTTCAAGGCAGTGCTTGCTATACATTTTAACCTGGTTTCACCCACATAAACATGCTGAACCAGCCTTACGGTTTCTTGTTTTTTGCTCTGAGCCCAGAATTCCTCCGGGGATTGTCCTGCTCATAAGCACCCAGTACACAAAAACATTGGCTTTCCCCGTTCTCACTGAGAGAATAAACTAGGATCACCCGAGGGCAAAGCCTAGATTGGTCAGTAGCAGGAGAGAGGTCACGTGGCAGGCAGGCGCAAGTGGAGCGGCCAGACCCAAATACGCGGACCAAATAGCAGATCCAGTGATGATTTTTTTTTTCTTTTAAAGGGCAGGGGTAGTCATGCAGCTGTTTTTTTATATGGAGAAAAAAAATCTGTGCAGCTGGAAGAATTGCAATTGGAAGAGTTCTCTAGCTTGGAGTTGAAGGAAGAGACCTAGTTATTTTCGTTAAGAATTCTGAACTTCAAGATCAGCCACTGTCCCCTTCACCACATGGCTTTTCCATAAAGGTTATACAGTTCCAAAAAAATTATTTGAATTAATATTAATTATTAAAATTACATAATATATTTATTGTATATAAAATATTTTAATATATTTAAATTATATATAATCATATATTTAATATTAATCCATCATTTAATTTAATATTTATTTAAATTATATGCAAATATATAATTATGAATATTAATAACAATTAAATTTTGCAGTACTCTACTGGGACCTTAATTTGGGATAACCAAAGAGTTCCCTAAAGAAATCCTGGTGGAGTATTAAAATATTGAATTCTATTACCTTTTTGTGTAATTGTATAACATTTATGAGTGAAGAAAAGGGAGGAAAAATTTAATGCGTAACAGTTGAAATCTTTTTTTTTTTTAAAGTCAAGTCCCTTTACTCTGATGAGGAAGGAAGAGATGGTAATCAACTGGAAAGTTTTGCATTCTCTTCCTTCCTTAAATTTATTTTGAGTCTATTTTTTTTTTTTATTGAATTAGCTAAAAATGGCTCCTGAGAAAGAGAAGTCAAAGGCTACTCCAAGGAAAACCAGATGACCAACTTTTTCTTCACTGAAGCAAAATGGATGGACTCCCTGAATCCTAAATAAACATTATTAAACAGTATGTAACAGGACCCAGCTGCAGTTGCTGCTCTACTCATCATTTCCATAGCCAGCTGCAGCCACTTTAGTCACACATCTGCAGGCCCATATCTACTCACAGCTTAAGACCACATCCCACCCAGGTAGAATGTCTGTAAGGAAATGCTCTGGCAAGGAAATCTCATTCCAGAATCAAGCTCTTATGTATGCCTTGTGACCTGTTGTACTGTTGTCTTATATACGTCTTACATTGAATCCCTTAAACTGCTGAGGCTTGACTGCCTTTCATTACTTCTGCTTCAATGTCCTAGTGTCCAGACCATTGGTTTGCTTTTGACCCATTTTGATCACAAGAGTCTTAACCCTGAACATGTGCTACTGTTAATGCTGGACGTTCAGAGGCAGTGTGATTCTTCTCCAGAACACTCCCGGTAAGCAATTAAATACAACTTCCACCCTGGAAACTGGACAAAACTACTTAAAATGTCTGCTTTAATGGAAATTAGGAGTCAGGAAAAAAGTAGATTCAAATCTAGTTTCTGACATTTACTAACTATGTGACCAGGGACCAGGCACATAGACATTCTGGGTCTTAGTTTCTTCACCTATAAAATGAAGATAAGATTGAGGCCCTAAAAAGAAGTAAACTATGGGGCTCAAACACACAGCCCCCATAGGATCCCTTCATCCTATTCCTTTGCCTAAGCCAGGGTGGGGAACTTGTGGCCTGGAGGCTACATGTGACCTTCTAGGTCCTGGGGTGCAGCCTTTTGACTGAGTCCAAGTTTTACGGAATCAATCCTTTTATTAAAGAGATTTGTTCTGTAAAGTTTGGATTAAGTCAAAGGGCTGCACTTGAGGACCTAGAGGGATGTGACCTCCAGGCCGCAGGTTCCCAACCCCTGGAAGCCCAAGGCAGTTGATGAATGTGAGGGATTATTGAAAATGCACGTTTCACTAACCCCACCGGTCATTTGTTGGAAATTTGTTTCATATTCCCAATCAAAAGCCTAGAGTGAGCACTGTTCTTTATTGCATTAGTCCCAAAGAGGCTATTCTTGAATATAGGCTCCACGCTTAATTTGCTAGGCACTAAATTAAGGGACTAAGATTAAGAGGGGTTGGGGAAGGCTTCCAGTAAAAGATGAGATTTTAGTTTGGACTTAGAGTAAGCTAGGGAGGTCTGTACATGGAGCGGAGGAGAGACAGTGTTCCAGACTTGAGGGACAGCAAGAGAGGATGCCTGGAACTGAGAGATAGTATTTGGTTTGTGGAACAAATTGGATAAAAGTACGTGTCGGATAGTAAGATATAAGAAGCCTGGAAAGTTAAGACAGGGCTAGGTTATGAAGGGCTTTGAATGTCAAACAGAGCATTTTATATTTGTTCCTGGAGGCAAGAGGGAACCACTGTAGTTTATTGAGTTAGGGGGGTGAAATGGTCAGACCTGCATTTTAGGAAAATCACTTTAAAGGCTGAGTGGAGGATAGACTAGAGTGGGGAGAGACTTGAGGCAGGAAGGCCCACCAACAGGTTATTGTAATAGTCCAGGCTTGAGGTGAGGAGGGCCTGCACTAGAGTGGTAGATGTGTCAGACAGAAAAGGGGGCACATTAGAGAGATGCTGTAAAGGTGAAGTTGATAGGCCTTGGCACAGGATTGGAGATGGGGATGGAGTTAGAAAGTGAGGAGTTTAGGATGCCTCCTTCAAGCCAGAGCAACTGGAAGGATAGTGTTGCCCTCTACAGTAACAGGGAAGGTGATGGGAGGTGGTTAGTGGGAAAGAAAATGAGTTTCATTTTGGAAGCGTTGAGTTTAAGATGTCTACTGGACATCCATTCTGAGATCTTGGAAAGTAGCTGGAGAAGCGAGACTGGAGGTCGGCAGGGGAGTTTCAGGCAGGGTAGTTAGATTTAAGAGTCATTTGTATAGAAATGGTCATTAAATCCATGAGAGCTGATGAGATCATGAATCGAAGTAGTATAGAAAGAGAAGAGGGCCCAGGACCAAACCTTTGGCTAGCGGGCAAGATCTGGAAGAAAATCCAGCAAAGGAGACAGAAGGAGCAGTCAGACAAAGGAGAAGCAGGAGAGAGTAGTGACTGTAGATGAGAAGAAGGTGTCTAGGAGGAGAGAATGATTAACAGTGTCAAAGGCTGCAGAGAGGTCAAGGAGAATGAGGATAGAGAAAAGCCCATTGGATTTCTAAAACATAAATAAATAAGCTTGTTGCTAAACAGAAATTTAAGGTAAGGTTAACCCAGAACAGTGGAGACATTTAGAATGACCAGCAAATATGGTAAGTTGGGTTTTTGTGGTTAAGGAGGAGGCTGACATAGTTCACAGATGGTTCCCTATTGGTTTCAGTCTCCCTTCCCTTCCTCACTGGGGCCTCTACCTGTCCAGGGCAGCCTGTCATTCAGCCGCCAAACTTAGAAAACCCCCTGTTTCCTGGAAGCCATCCCTCTTGCCTTATTCCTCTGCCTCTTTGTCTGTTCTGTGATACCGGCTTTGGCGAAGTCACATCTACAGCTCTAAACAAAAGCTCCCAGGTCATATCTTCACAAACAGCAATCAGAAAATCCAAGTCAGCAGCACAAAGTGCACAAAGCTTTCTTTGGGAAAGGAGGAAAAGAGGCCTGTTGATCCTCTCCTGCCACATATCCTAGAGTCCCCTTGAACATCAGAGATGCGGGGAAGAAGGGAGAGAGTTGATGACCTTTGTAATGAGATAACTATCTCCAAATGACTTAGGCCAGGGATGCAGGTCAGTTCATAATGTGTGGTCTTGGCTCTGCTTCTCTGGTTATATGACCTTTGTCCAGTTACTTAGCCTTGCTAGTCTATAATTTCCGCATCTGTAAAATGAGAGGGCTGGACTATGTCTAGAGGTGAGAGAGAGAGAGACAGACACATACACAAACACGGGCGGGAGGAGGGGAGAGCGAGAGACAGAGAGAGAGAGGGACAGAGAGACAGAGACAGAGAGAGACAGAGACAGAGAGAGAAAGACAGAGAGAGAAAGACAGAGAGAGACAGAGACAGAAAGGAGGGGGGAAGGAGGGACAGAGAGACAGAGAGTGATAGAGATAGAAAGAGAGAAAGAGAGGGGAGGGGGAAGGAAGGGCAGAGAGAGGGAGAGGAAGAATGAGAGAAGAAGAGAGAGAAGAAATGGAGAAAGACAGAGAAGAAAAGGAAAGAAAGAGGGAGGGAATCAGGGAGATAGAAAGACAGAGACAGACTAGGTTGTGATGTGTTGCTACTAGGAGAAAAAGGGATAATGATTCTTCCCTATCTTTTTTTTTTTTTTTAACAACTTTGTATTTATTTCATGGCAGCTATGCTGTGTGGTGGATAGAACACCAGGCCTGGAGTCAGGAAAACCTGAGTTCAAGTGTGTCCTTACTTACTAGCTGTGTGACCCTGGGCAAGATACTTAACCCTGTTTGCCTCAGTTTCCTCATCTGTAAAATGAGCTGGAGAAGGAAATGGCAAAACATTCCAGTCTCTTTGCCAAGAAAACCCCAAATAGAGTTGTGAAGAGGCAGACATGACTGAAATGACTGAACAATAATATCAACATTTATTTCGTGCACACTTGTATCCTGTACATATTTACAGATGCATGTTTTGCTTCCCTTGAAAGAATGTGAACTTGGGGCAGATAGGTGGAGCAGAGGATAGAGCTCTGACCTTGGAGTCAGGAGGACCTGAGTTCAAATCCAGACACTTTACACTTACTAGCTGTGTGACCTTGGGCAAGTCACTTAACCCTGATTGCCCCAGCCAAAAAAAAAAAAAGTGAGCTTCTTGAGAGTAGGAATTATTTTATTCTTTATGATTGTAACCTCAATACCTGGCACAGTCATAGTAATTGCTTAATAAATGCTTGTTGATTAATTGATGGATTTTAGCATTGTCAATAGGGTCAATTGGCCCAGTCTTCTCCAACCTCTATGTAGTTGTTGGGGAAGCCATTGCTATGCTGCAGAGTCCAGTGAGGCTTAATTTACTTGTAGTGCTAAGAGGATAATTATAAGCCATATTCAAGTTTTAGGATATAGCATATAGGCGAGCTGTCTGTCTCAATATTGACAGTTAGAGGTATTTCTTAGATGATCAAAATAGGACACAGGACTCAGGATGAGCCCTACATTTAAGCCTCTATGGCTGGGCCTTTACAATTTGCAACAATCGCTCTTGCCTTCTATGGGACTTTTTTCTAAAGCTAAGCCTGTAGTCTGCCAGTCAGTCAATTAGCATTTATTAAGTACCCTCTATATGCCAGGGACTGTGCTAAGGGCTGGTGATACAAAGAAAGGCAAAAAAAAAAAAAAAACCTCAAAAAGCAAAAGCAAGTCTCTGCCCTCAAGGAGCTAAAATTCTAATGGGGGAAGACAACTTAGAAATAACTATGTATGAATAAGATATAGAGAGGAGAAATTGGGGTCTGTATCACAGGGAAGGCACTAAGATTTAAGGAGGATTGGGAAAGGCTTCTTGAAGAAGTAAGCAATTTTGGTCATACAATGCATAGAGTGCTGGGTTTGTAATCAAGACCTCAGTGCAAAACCAGCCTTAGACACTTAACCAGCTATATGACTGGGTGAATCTCATAACTGCTGCCTGCCTCAGTTTCCTCAACTGTAAAATAAGGATCATAATAGCACCTACCTCACAGGATTGTTGTGAGGATCAGATGAGATAATATCTGTAAAGAGCTTAGCACAGTGCCTGGCACATAGTAGGTGCTTAATAAATGAGTATTCAATTCCCCTTTCTTTTCCCTTTGTGTAGAAGATGGGGCTTGAGCTGAAGCTTATAGGAAGTCAAGGCAGTGAGAAGGGAGAGTTCCAGGCATGGGAAACAACCAGTAAAAACGTCTGGATCCAGGAGATGTGTTGTTGAATGCACTATCCATGCAATATTGGAGTTCTTGTTCACTCCTTTTTTAAGATACATTGAGTAAGGTATGATCCCTGGGTATGGCACAGTGAAGCCCAGCAAAGCGGTGTTAGCCAAGAGAAAATAAAGCAAACCAGATTTATTGTGAAGATATACTCACAATAAAGAAGGGAGGTCAGGGAAAATGGATAGAGGTATTCTGGGAGCCCAGGGTGGAATTGGACATGCTGAATCCAATGGGTTTTTATGGGATTTTTATCTGCCTCAAGTAGAACCTGGCACGTGGTGGGTGGGGAGGGGAGAGAGTGAGGATTCTGCGCCTGAAAACTGGTGCTGATTCATCTCCAAAAGACCTCTGAGGAATTAGCAGCTAGTTGGTATTCAAACTTCAACTTCCAGGAGGAAACGGGGCTTTTGGCCATTACCATAGACCTTATTTTGACAAGGCAACTCAGAGGTTTTCTTTAGCAGGTTGACCCACGTCCTTGCAACTGCTTATAAGCAAATGCATGCTTGCCTATTGGCACGAGGGAGCTATAGTCTGAATGGCGTTCCTTTGGGTCATCTACCACCATAGTTTCCAGATTATGCTACATCACCTTCATGTGAGATTTATTTTCTTGAATCATTTCTTCAGGCTATTTAAATTTCATGATTACCTGGGTAAGGGGGTGGTGTGTTGTGTTGTCTGTATAGGGTATGTGTGACCACTTGGGTCTATCTAAATGTGGCTCATAGGGAGGCATGAATCAATAGATATGACAAGAGTCTCCTCCATCTACTGTTCTCCAAGGGAAACATTGATTCCTGCCGGAAGGAGAAGCAAGAGGTCAATGCCAGAAGCTTATGACTCTTCTCTACTCAGAGGCTAGAATAATATTTGTCTGGAACCCCCCTCCTTTCGATATTGTTGATCTAGAGGAAATAATTTTTAGGCTCAAGTTGAGCTCCTGATCCTCATTTTTTAATGGGGAAGGAGTTTCCCAAGGATATATCCAAGATTTAACTCTTTTTTCACAAAATGCCAGTTCTACAAATAACACACACAGTGAACAGCAAATAAACTCTTTATATCAACAGACAGAATTTAGCAAGCAGAGATTAGGGAAGTTATACAAATGAGAACATACTAGACGATATAGAGTGAAGGAGTTCTCCCACTGGGCATGAGATAGCTCAGTTCTACCAGGAGATAGTCTCAGAGCTCATCCAAGGGGAAATCCCCTCAAAGACTCTAGTACAGTAACCAAGGGATATAGACATAATCAAAGTGCTGGCTCTTCTACATGTCTGGCTGCTTCCCATAGTCTTTCTTTCCCTCCAGGAGCCTGAAGAGTGTCTGGAGTCATCTATCTTCTTTCCCAAAGTTGGAAGCCAGAAGACTAGGATCACTCTTGAAAACTCTGCCCCTCACACAGAAACAGAGCCCTGAATAACCAATTTCAACCAATGAAGAGGGTCTTACGTAAATGAGCTTTGGGCTTCAGGTTAGACCTGCATGGGTTCCCAAATTGTTTTGAACTAGGTGTAGAAGGAGTGTACAGGAGAGATCCTATCTGAAGAATTCAAACCATTTATAAACCATAAGCATGACTTATTTGCCCACAAAATATGGTTTTAAAAGAGAAATTGCACTGGTATTCAAAAAAGTGGTCATCATTTTGTCTTGCCATACCATAGAAGGCTCAACTCATTTTATTCAACAAGTATTTTTTGAATATCAACTATATGTAAGTCACTTTGCTAGACCTTACAATCTAGTAAGGATGCAACAAAACATACCTAGCTCAATATTATACAAAACATATACAATTCAATGTAACACAAAGTAGAGTGTGAGAGTTTGTGAGAAGTGTGAAGTCCCATGAGAGTTCAAAGAAAGAAGGAATCATTTCTTTCTGGGGAGATAAACAAATCCTAAATGAAGGACATTGCTTTTGAGTTGGGTCTTCCAATTCTAAAATTCAGTGATTCTACGACATGATGAGAATTGTTGCCCTTGAAAATGCCAGCCAAAAGCTCTATTTGGTGGCTTGGAATTGATTCTGATATTGAAGAAAATTGTGAAGGAGTGTGGTATACACTTGGCATAGTCCACCAATACCTGGAGGTTGTTGTTGGGTCATTTCAGTCATGTCTGACTCTTGGTGACCCCATTTGGGGTTTTCTTGGCAAAGATACTGGAGTGGTTTGCCATTTCCTTCTCCAGCTCATTTTACAGATGAGGAACTGAGACAAACAAGTTTAAGTGACTTGCCCAGGTCCACATAGTAAACATCTGAGGCTAGATTTGAACTCATGAAGATGAGTTTTCCTAATTCGAAGCCCAGTGCTCTATCCTCTGTGCCACCTAGCTGGAAGAGAGTGGCCATTAATTTTGTAGGGATATTTAGGGGGAGAACGTCTTGGCCATTCAAATGGCTTAAAGCAATCAGAGTTCCATCTCATACCTCCATGGAAACACTGGACACTGTACTACTTATGTGCAAAGCACAATTTTCCAGACAACATCTTTTCTGACAATGAAACTGAACTGCTGTTGTTTTTTTTTTAAACCTCAATTGGCTTAATGGAATTTATGGAGAGAAACCTTATCTAAATTATCACCAAACCCGGAAAGATGGGGTAGACTGCAAAGCTTGTTTTGAGGTATATTTTGGAAGGGTTGGCCACAACTCTTATTAGACTTTTCATTGCCAAGTGTATAATTCCAATCCTGCTGAATTACTAATAGGGCAGATGGGTAGTACAGAGAATATACTGTTGGACTTGGAGTCAAAAAGACCTGAGTTCAAAACCCTACAGAAGATAGAGTGTTGGACTTGGGGTCAGAAAGACTTGAGTTCAAATTTTGCCTTTGTGACCTTGGGCAAGTTCCTTGACCTCTATGTACCTCAGTTTCCTCATCAGTAAAACGAGGATGATAATGGCACCTACCTCCTAGGGTTATTGTGAGGACAAAAAGAGATAACATTTGTAAAGTGTTTTGCAAATTTTAAAGTGTTATATAAATGCCAATGCTAATAATCATAATAATAGTAATAATGAGGGGAAGATCTGCCTTAGCTATGTCTATCTAAATTTAGCTTAGGACCTACAGGGGCTTCAATTTTCTTATCTGTACATGGGAGAAATAATATTTGACATTCCTAGTGTGTAAACATATTAAGAACATCCTTTTTAGTTCAATTGAAATATTAAGAAATAAATATTTCAGACCTTTTGCCTTTCTCTTAAGCCCCTACCCCCTCTCTTTTAGGAAAGTGTATACGGGATCAAGAATGAAAGCTATGGCTCCAGAGGATGGATTAATGGCGGGAACCAAACTTAAAAGGAGATCATTGCCTTCCCCATACCTTGAAGAGATTAGTTACAGCCCACCTAAAGTTTAGCTAGACAACCTCTCAAGTTTCCTTCCAGCTGTAATATTCTATTATTCTAACTAACTCATCACCATTCTTGATTTTTTGTATTTCATACATTTTTCTTTTCTTTTCCTTTCTTCTTTTTTAAAAGCATTTTTTCATTAAAAAGTGTTATAGAATCTAATTGACAAGTAGGCATTTTATTTGGATCAAAATGCCTTTATGATTGATATTTTTATTCAATTATGCATACGACATATCTCTTAGTTATGATATGATTTTAAAAAAATGTGTTTTGGGTTACTCTTTGTTGTTAGTTTTATCAGTGCAGGGAACTTCTAGTGTAGAAATTCCCTTCATTTATGCTGATTGGCCACTCAATTTTCATGTGGTCTTAAGAGAGTAGCTTGTGGAGATTAAGAAGTTAAGTGACTTGATCATGTTCATACAGTTAGTGGTGTAAGATGGACTGGAGTGGGAAGGGGAGGGGCAGCTTCTAAGCCAGGTCTTGCTGACTCTAAAGCTGGTTTTCTGTCTACTACATCATACTGCCTCTCAGCAATCATTTAATAATTACTTGTTGAATGTCTTTATCAATTGATCAATAAACAAATATTTATTGAGTGTACTGTAGGGAATACAAAGATGCGTAAACCAAATCAAAGCATCTGGGATGAAGTTGACGAGAGAAGACAAACAAATCTGTGAACATAGTGTTCTCATAACTCTACAGAATAGCATATGATGAAGTGCTTAATGGAATTCCTCACCATTCAAAGAAGGGAAGTGGGGTGGGTAGTTGAGAAATCCTGTAAATGATACATTTCCTCTTGGCTACACAATTCTTTTGGCAGAAGTTGAAAATGAGTTTACTGTGTTGGCTCAGCACCAGATGCTATATTGATGAGGAAACTTGTTTTTACACCCCTGTCCTCCCCTTTCTACTCTCTTCCCTGTTCTTTCTACCTGTCATGTCTCCATGCTCGCTGCTTGGCACTCCTACTTGAGAGACTGAGGGTTGGTCTTAATCATGGAGGATCTAATCGGCCACTGTAGGCTAGATCTGTGAGGTGTATCATCTGAATTCAGCTAGCATCTTTGATGTACTCTGTGTCTAACCTTTGGAGCAGCAATAGGACTCAGGTGGGCACCCAGGTGTCCTCATCTGAGGAAAAATAGCACGTACTCCTGCCTTCCAGAACGCAAAGTCAGGGCCAGGGTCACACAGAATAGATACAGAGTAGGATGCAAAGGAACACCAAGTCACTGCAGCTGCTCCCCTGCCAAGTCCTTGGGACCCATACATAAACACCTAGGGATTGTTGTCAAAGATAGGCTGACTTGGCAGCTCATACATCAATGGTGATTGCAGCGTTGACCTCACTCAGTGTCTCTTCTCATTCTAAGGTGTAGACAGATCTTCCATTGTGTGGTCTCAGCTGTGTTTCTTCATCCCTGAGTCCGTTCCTAACACTCTTTTTCCTTTATTCCTTCTTCTTATCCTTATGGCAGCTAGGTGCTAGGCTTAGAGTCAAGAAGACTTAAGTTCAAATTCTGCCTAAGATATTCACTGTATGACCCTGGCAAGTCACTAATTTCTTTGTGCCTCGGTTTCCTCATCTGTAAAATGAAGACAATAATAGCACTCTATCTCCCAGGGTTGTTAGGAGAATAAAATAAGATAACATAGTAAAGCACTTTGGAAACCTTAAAGCCTTATGTAGATGCTGTTTTATTCTTTTTCTTCTTATTGTTATTATTATCTTTCCTATTGTCCTTGTCTTCTCTGTACAGCTAAACTTTTTCCCTTTCTTCCTTTAGACACTATGATCTTTGTTAACTTCATCCCAGATGCCTTGATTTGGCTTATGCATCTTTGTATTCCCTACAGTACACTCAATAAGTATTTGTTTATTGATCAATTGATAAAAACATTCAACAAATGTTATATTAGTCTTTACTATTGGTTTATCTTTTTATAAAATATCTAAATGAGAAAAAGTTGTCATATGTGGGAAGACAGTGCTATTAATGTAATAGGTATTAGAAAAATGTTCATTAAATGAATGCAGCTCAACTACAGTAGATCCTTGTGTGTCTAGATTAATGATGATTGGGCATAATCTACATTTATAAGCATCTAGGTCATCTTCTTTGTGGACTCCATGAACAACCATCCCCAACTCCTACCTCCATTTTCTCCTGTTTATGATTCTGTCCCTTCCCTACTTCATTCATTCATTCATTCATTCAGCAAACACTGATTTAGCATCTACATATAGCAAGACTTTTGGAACTTTAGGGTATACAAAAACGAATCAAACGTAGTCTGTGCTCTCATCAGTTCAACTTTGACCCTTAAGACAACACGGAGAGAGAAAGATGAAAGGATGCTAGATGTATTAGAAATTCTATCTTGGAGGTCTGGCACAATTTCTAATTTAGTAAGCCAAATTCAACTAATCTCTATTGTAATATATGTGAAAGTCCTTTGTAGATTATAATGTGTTACACTGTTAAATTAAATTATACTATTAAAATTCTGCGTCTGAAATATCCCTCATATTTGTTCCCTCTTCCATTGCTACTGCTCCAGGTTACGACTTCATTATCTTTTGTCTAGATTATTGGAATAATCTGTTGGTCTCCCTTATCATCATCCTCCTCATCATCCTCCTCCTCCTCATCATCATAGCATTTATTAAGCACTTGCTATATTCCAGGCACTATGCTAAGTTCTAGGGATGCAAAGAAAGGCAAATACACTCTCCTCGCCCTCAAGAAGCTCACAATCTGATGGGAGAGATAACATGCAAACAACTATGTATTTTCTGATTTGATGGCTTCTCCCAGTTGTTGTTGTTGTTTTAGTTGTGTCCAACTCTTTGTGACCAGATTTGGGGTATTTCTTGGCAAAGATACTGGAGTGGTTTGCTATTTCCTTCTCCAGCTCATTTTACAGATGAGGAAACTGAAGCAAACAGGGTTAAATGACTTGCCCAGGGTCACACAGCTAGTAAGTGTCCGAGGCCAGATTTGAACTCACAAAGATGGGTCTTCCTGACTCCAGGCCTGGCACTCTATCCATTGTACCACCCAGCTACCCAAGAGGTAATGCTTACATAAGTACAGTCCTAATAAGGTTGTCATCCTATACAATAGTGGAATCATGGTTCATTGCTTATTACCATAAGGGAGATAACAATAACACTAATTTATTTAGCACTTTTAGGTTTAGGTTTAGTTCACAGCACTGCAAGCATTATTGTGTCCATTTTACAGATGAGAATAGTACAGAAATACTGAAAAAAGCTTTGGAGAGGATAAATGTCTTGACTAGGGCTATAATACAATTGAATTTTCTCTTTAATTCACTTTTCACATTTTGAACATTAAAAATATTTGTCTTTAAGTCTTATCTCCCTGCTATCCTGCAGGCTTCATGAATATGCTGCTGACAAATGTTGTAAGATTCCCTGAGATAATTGGTATACTCATAGTAGCAGAGGCTAAGATTAGACATGACATTTAGAACTGTTAGACACAAAACAGATTACCAAATAAAATTCCTTTCACCAGGAGAGAAAAGAATTCATTTTTTAATAGATAAGTAGTTAAAACTTTGAATAAACAGATCTCAAAAGAATTGCAAACTAACAATAACTCACAAGAGATTGCTCCAAATCATTAATAATAAGAGAAATGCAAATTAAAACATCTCTGAGGTCTCATTTCACACCAAATAAATTGGCAAAGAGTACAAAAGATGGAACTACCCAGTGTTTGTGGGGCTTCAAGAAATTGTTCAGTTGTGTCTGACTCTTCATGACTCCATGGACCATAGCATGCCAGGCCTTTCTATTCTCCACTGTTTCTTGAAGTCTGTCCAAATTCATGTTCATTGTTTCCATGATACTATTTATCTCACTCTCTGCTATCCTCTTTTCCTTTGGCCTTCAATCTTTCCCAACATCAGAGTCTTTTCCAATGAGCCCAATTTTCTTATGTGGCCAAAGCATTTTAAGTTTCAGCTTCAATGTTTGACCTTCTAGTGAATATCCTGAATTAATTTCTTTAAGTATTGACTAATTTGGTCTCCTTGCTGTTCAAGGGACTCTCAAAAATCTTCTCCAGCACCACAATTTGAAAGCTTTGATTTTGTGGCACTCCGCTTTCCTTATAGTACAACTCTCACAGTCATATATTGTTACTGGAAAAACCATAGTTTTGACTATAAGGAGCTTTGTCTGTAAGGTGCTTTGAGAAGACTTGCATAATAATGCACTGTTGGTGGAGCTATGAAGTGGTCCACACATTCTGGAAAGCAATTTGTAATGATGTGAGAAAAGACATTTTTATACTCTTTGACCCAGGGATCCTACTCTTGGGCATACCCTCTAGGGAAATCAAAGACAGAAAGAATGACCCTCTCTATATCAAAATATATCAAGTAGCACTTCTTGTGTTAAAAGAGAATTTACTATAAATTTAACATTTATTACAAACAATAAACATATGTTAAATGCCTACTATGTGCCAAGCACTGTGCTAAGTTCTGGGGATACAAAGAAAGGCAAAAGATAGTCCCTCCTCTTAAGGAGCTCACAGTTTAATAACAAAGAACACGAAAAACAACAATTTATATACAAAATACAAATAAGGTGAATTGTAGATAATTAGCTGAGGGAAGGTACTAGCATTAAGGGGAATCAAGATGAGATTTTAGTTGGGACTTGAAGGAAATCAGAGAATTCAGGAAGTGGAGATGATGATGGAGTACATTCCAGGCATGGGGACAGTAGGTGAAAACTCCTGGAGTTGAGAGATGCAGTGTCTTTTTTTTTTTAGCTTTTATTTAGGATTTTATTTTTCCCAAGCTGAGAGTCATGTTTGAGGAACAGAAAGGAAGCCTGTGCCACTGTATTGAAGAGTATATGGGGGCAGCTAGGTGGCACAGTGGATAGAGCACTGGACCTGGAGTCAGGAGGACCTGAGTTCAAATCCGGCCTCAGACACTTGACACTAACTGTGTGATCCTAGACAAGTCACTTAACCCCAATTGCCAAAACAAAAACAAAAACCCCCAAAAAACAAAAATAAAAAAGAA